AGCACACAGTAGGAAACCAGAACATTATAACATGTCCCACACAGTTAGCTGACAGTGGGGGTACAGTATAAAACTCGCGGGCCGCACTAACATTACACTTTCATATTAAGGATGGGGCCACAAAATATCGTCCCGAGGGCCGCAATTGGCCCGCGGGCCGCGAGTTTGAGACCCCTGAATATTGACAGCGCTGGGAATTGTGGGACGGAATTATCTCCTTTCCTTTCGAAAAGTAAGGTCCGTTGTTTCCTAAAGGAGCTAAGGGAGGAAGCAGTGCAGCTCCTTTCCTCAGCATTAGAGAGGTCAAACAGCTCTTATCCTGGCGCCACTTACACTACTTCACTTCACTTCACTTCACTTCCTTTCTCTCAGTGAGGAACCTTCCGGGGACATTTGGCAATTCCAATGCAGACGTATTCCGACTGTGACATCATCACCCCCCCGTCCTCTCATTGGTTGGTGTCAGTCTAACGCCCTGCTGCCGTCGGTGGCGACAGCGGTGCGCTCCTGGTCCGACGGCAGCAGGCAGCGAGGTCGGCCCTGAAGGAGGGCGTGTAGAAGCCATAGATGACGGGGTCGCAGCAGGTGTTCAGGTTCCCAAAGACAAAGAGGCCATGATGCACGTACTCGGGTGTGAGGCGCAGCATGGCTGGCTGGAACCAGTACCACAGCCCCAGCAGGTAGTACGGCGTCCAGCACACCACGAAGGACAGTACGATGACCACCGTCATCTTCAGGGTCTTCAACCGGGCCTTCGGGATGATGCCAGTGCCGCTGCGCCGCAGGTATGACTCACCTGCTGAGAGTGTGTCGCACCATGAAGGTATTGCCGTTTGATATGCATCAGGATGTACAGGTATGATACAGGTGTGTTACACACCTCGTACCAGTACTACAGGTATAACATGTAGTTTGAGGAAAGGTGTGTTAGTGGTACGTTACTCATGTGGGATGGTACAAAGATGTTCCAGTTGTGTCTTACCTTTCTCCCTCATGTGCTGCTGGTGGATGTGGAGCAGAATGCGGCTGTAGCAGCAGCTCATCACCAGCAGGGGGACAACATACAGCGTGAAGAAGTGGAACATGTTGTAGACCGTCTCCTGCCAGCGGCGGCTGAAGCTCCCGTGAGTTGCACATTGAGTGAAGTCCACGGCCTCCACTCTGATGGCCCGGAAGATGACGAGCTGGGGGGACAGACCTCAGGTAAAGATTGGCTTTATTGAAGGGTTTGTTGTGTTTATGTTCTACTGATTTGTTTACAAAGACGTGCTTATGCACCTGTAGTCATCATGTTACATTACATTACAGGTCATTTATTTGACGCTTTTATCCAAACTTTACTGCAGACTTAAATTGCATTTTTAACCATGGCTTTTTTCCATTTCTGCCCAGCAATTAGGGATTAGGTGTCTTGCTCAGGGACACTTCAACATGGGGCCCGCCGGGGCTCGAACCACCAACCTTGCACCCTCTCTACCCCTGCGCCACGACGACCCTTGTAGTCATCATGTTACCTTTATCATTATGTTACCTGTAGTAATCATGTTACCTTTATCATCATGTTACCTTTATCATTATGTTACCTATAGTCATCATGTTACCTTTATCATCATGTTACCTGTAGTCCTCATGTTACCTTTATCATTATGTTACCTGTAGTAATCATGTTACCTTTATCATCATGTTACCTGTAGTCCTCAGGTTACCTTTATCATTATGTTACCTGTAGTCATCATGTTACCTTTATCATCATGTTACCTGTAGTCCTCAGGTTACCTTTATCATTATGTTACCTGTAGTCCTCATGTTACCTTTATCATTATGTTACCTGTAGTCCTCATGTTACCTTTATCATCATGTTACCTGTAGTCCTCATGTTACCTTTATCATCATGTTACCTGTAGTCCTCATGTTACCTTTATCATCATGTTACCTGTAGTCCTCATGTTACCTGTAGTCCTCATGTCCTATGTTACATTAACGCTGTTTCCGCAGCTAGGTTCAGGGGAACAGTTTGTTTTAGTTCTGTTCTTTTCGACTAACAGCCTGTTAGCATTGTTAGCATTCCTCATAGAAACCAAGGGGAGCGGTTAGCCCCAGCTAACAGCAGGAGGTTTCACACATTTAATCTCTCCCTTAGGAACCAGAACATTCCTTTAGGGATTTCATGTTCTGTCACCTGACAGAGGAACTTTCACCTGGATCGCAGAGAGAACAATGACCGTATGACAATAATTAAAATAATAAGGATGATAAAGATCACATATAATGTGACATGATCACATAGAAAGATAAACAGGTCTCTTCAGCAGATCATCATGTCATGAATATTGATGTTTTATATTAAACTTAAATTGGGACTCAAAATTAACTCTGTTCAAGACGATGTAGAATCTCTTTGATTATTTATCAGTGTTACCTGAGACCATGTGTTACCTGTGCACGTGTGTTACCTGAGGCCATGTGTTACCTGTGCACGTGTGTTACCTGAGGCCATGTGTTACCTGAGGCGATGCAAGCAGCAGGCTGAGGCACCAGGCCAGCAGCAGCATGACTCTGTTGCGGCGGTGCGCGCTCAGGGCATCCAGCGGGTTCAGGATGGCGTGCTGGCGATCAAGGCTGACCACCACGAGGACGAAGGCGGAGGCGTGCATGGCGAAGAGCTTCAGGAAGCACAGGAGCCGGCAGAGGGCGTCTCCTCCGTACCACTGCACCGTCATGTTCCACACCGCATCCAGAGGCATCACCACAAAGGTCATTACCAGGTCGGCCGACGCCAGGCTCAGCATCAGCGGCCGCAGGTGAGAGGATAGCCGCCGGCCACGCCCCCACCATACGCTGGCCAATAGGGCAAGGTTGCTGCAGGCAGCGAACATGAAAAGGACGAAGGTGGCGCCCACGCGGAACTGGGCTGCCCGGGTGAAGCTGGGAGCCTCCCAGTCCATGAGAGGGGGGAACCTGGAGGCGTTGAGATGGGGCGGCAGTGTGGGACCAGTGGGCGGAGCCTGGGATAACCGCTGCACGACGGACCAGTTACTTGACATCCTGTGGAGGAAGAGAAGAAGAAGAGGATTAAGTGTTTGGACAATTTAAAGGAATAGTCTATATTTAGGAGAAGGTCTCCAAACAGAGGGGACCGCCATTGGTCAGTGTGAATCAATTGCCATGGTAACGGCTCTTATCTCTGATCTTTAATCAGCAGTTGCAAACAGGAAGTCGCCATCACAATAAGAGCTGACGGACCGTTGGCCGGTAGATAAACCGGTAGACAGATAGGTGGTCTTCTAGCGTCCAATCACGGCTCAGCAGGTGATGCTGCTTGTGTCAGAGTTTGGTTTGATGGTTGTCAATGGTCTGGGCTCTGGGAGGAGGGTCGCCCCAGACCTTAAGGAGGGGGTCTTAACAGACCTCTATTGCAACACAAGAAGGAGAAAAAAACTGATGAAATCTTAAATATCTTTTAAATGTGTGGCGATGGAGACAAGAGTTCCTACAATAAGCAATCGACTAGCAACCAACCTATCAATCAAACTGTGTGTGTGTGTGTGTGTGTGTGTGTGTGTGTGTGTGGCAACCTTGGCCAGCGGACCATCAGGCCCCTCCCCTTCCTGAGCCTCCTAATGGTTATAATTATGTTAATATTATCAAGACAGAAGAAACAAGCGAGAAGGAAATAAGTTATTTAATTGTTTTAACACAACTAATAGTGAAACAAATTGGTTGATTGAGTATTTAAATGTATCCATGACAGACTCTAAATAATGATAAATATACTCCATTGGTGTTCAGAGAACAAAGAGTTTGATCTGCAAATATAAACCAGCAGTTATTGATCCCTGATCACGTTCTGTACTGTCTGGGGCTTTTTTGTGAAAGAGTCGGCGTCCTCACCTGATCAGCAGCTGTCAATCAATGTTTCTCCTCCTCACGTCCGCGACAGGAACCTGCAGAGAAGAACATCCGCTTCCTGCCGACTGAAGCTGCTTCTGAAGAGAATCCCTGAGAAGGAGGGAAGGAGGAGGAGCTCCATGAGGTGTGTGTGTGTGTGTGTGTGTGTGTGTGTGTATAGGTGTGTGTGTGTGCGTGTATGTGTGTGTGTGTGCGTGTTCGTTCCGTCTGATCAGTAGAATGAAGTCTTACTGACGTCTCTCAGTGGATCCGCCCACCATCTGAAATCAACCCCGACAGACTGAACTACTTCTCTTTCTGGGGAAAGATTCTCCTTCACAGGACCTGACTGTTAACTTTGAGACTCCGTGTTAACGTCCACTTTGACTGCAGGAACCTCGGCGTGACGTCGACAGCCGACTCTCCCTGACTCCAACATCACTGACACCATCCTGTAGATACTCGCTCTACAACATCAGGAGAACACGTCCTCTTCTCACTCAGAAGGTACTGATTCAGGCTCTGGTCGTCTCCCTCCTGGACTACTGCAACTCTCTCCTGCAGGTCTCCTGCTACCTCCATTCAGCCTCTGCAGCTCATCCAGAATGCAGCAGCTCCACTGGTCTTTAACCTTCCTAAGTTCTCCCTCACTCCTCCACTCCTCCGCTCTCTTCACTGGTACCGGTGGCTCATCCAGTTCTAAACATGGTGCTCAGGTACCAGGCTGTGAATGGATGGGGTCCAGCTTACATCCAGGACCTGGTCCAACCCGACATCCCGACCCGCACTCTCCGCTCTGCATGTGATAAACTGCTTGTTCCTCCTCACTGAGAGCAAAACACTCGACTAGATCTCCACTCTTTGCTGTCCTGCTCCTAAATGGTGGAAGGAGGTCTGTGAAGACATCAGGACCACAGAGAGCCTTCACATCTTCAGACTAAAGACACACCTCTTCAGACTCTACCTCCACTAACACACTAACTAACTGTAGCACTTACATTGGACTTATAATGGTTCTTATCTACAGCAAGTTGTAAACTGGCTTATTTGATGAAATCACACTTTCTTGTTTCTTCTTCTGACTTTGTGTCCTTATGGTTGAAATGTTCTGATTGTAAGTCGCTTTGGATAAAAGCGTCAGATGAGTGTACATGTCATGTGAGTCTTGATGTTTCAGTAGGAACATAAATGTGACCCTGAGACTGTTTTTAAACAGGTAACAGGTGAATCCGGATGTTTGTTTCTCATTGTCTTGGCCTCTGCCTCCAATGAGAATCCACTGAAATATAACAAGAATATTTATTAAAAACTTTTGACAGTTTTTGGAATGATTTGACTTTAAAGGTTGTCACTGGTCAACAGAACTACAACACAAACAGGTGCACGATGTCTTGAGACAAAGCAGGAACATATTGGCAAAACCTTTAATTCTCAATGACCATTTAGTATATTATAAGACGAAGACCATGTAATATGATCAAAAACCACTCAGAGTATCTTAAATTGACATTCATATGTAATCAGCGTCTTTATTCAAACGCAAGTTTTAAGCTGAAAGCTAAAGCTAAGCTAACAGCGCCATCTGGTGGGTGAGTCAGCTTGAGTAAAGTATAGATACACAAACTTTCTACTTAAGTAACTTTACGCCGCTGTCTATGGGTGTGAAGCTGTCTGATGCAAACTGACGCGATGACGTCTTTATTGAAGCAGCTAGCTAATGTGCTACGTGCTAACCCAGTTACGAGGTTGCCATGGCAATACGAGGGGCGAGGCCGATCCGAAGGACACGAGTGAGAAATTTAAAAGAAAAAGGGGAATAAAGGGAATAATTAGTGAATGCTATATGATATATGATGCTTTTATCATTTTTACAATGAATACAGTTATCATAAATGTCCATTTAACCCTAAACCCACAAAATACACAGAACACATTCAACTGCGTCACAACATTCCAACTTGGTCGTTCGGCCAATCAGAGAGCGGCGGGAGCTTTTCAAACTTCCCACCGGAAGCAGCTCCAAGCGGCGGGCGGGTAACGGTGGAACCGGACGAGCAGCCGAGTGGGACACTTGTTGTTACAGTTTGAATTGAAAGACGGGGAGAAGTGACTCCAGCTTCATTCACCGCGGGGGGACGGAGACACGGAGACAACATGGCGGACTGCTGCGCGCGCTGTGAGTCAAACTGCTGCTTCTTCGTGTGAACGCTGCCGTCCGCTTATTGATCTGTCACGTGCGTGTTTGAACTGATCATATGTGCGTGTTGAGATGAATTCATCTACCGTTAAACCGAAGGAGACGAGACGTGGATTATTTATTCTTCATGTACATACTGTGTGTGTGTGTGTGTGTGTGTGTGTGTGTGTGTGTGTGTGTGTGTGTGTCACAGATGAGCGCCTCACAGCAGAGCAGATGGATGAGCAGAGGGTCCAGAATGTGGCCTATCAGTACCTGTGCAGGCTGGAGGAGGCTAAGAGGTCAGTCATGTCCACTGTAGACCTGGTCCTCCTGATCCACCCTGCTGTTTCTCCTCTGGAGGCTCATGTCTGCCCATGGTGAGGTTTCACATGTTCCATCACTGATGACATCCTCTCTCAGGTGGATGGAGGCGTGTCTGGGGGCGGAGCTTCCTGCTCCTGTGGAGCTGGAGGAGACGCTGAGGAACGGAGTGGTTCTGGCTAAGCTGGGTCATCGCTTCGCCCCGAAGGCCGTCAGCCTAAAGAAGATCTACGACCCGGATCAGCTCCGGTACCAGGTACCATACACACACGTCTACATAGTACCACACACACGCCTATACACATAGTAGCACACACACACACACATAGTACCACGTATACACACTCTAGCGGTGTCTGAAAGTCGCTAGGCTGCATCCTTGTAGCCTGCAGCCTTCAGCGGCCTTCTGGTCTACCTGGGCTGCGTCCTCCAACGACCGCGTAGGCTGAACTAAACAAATGGGACGGTCTGTCCTACGGGGGACTTCCTGCTTGCATCATCAGCTTTACCTCCTCCGCCCCCGTTGCCAAGCAACCTGCTGCTTGACAGTAAAAGCTGAAAGACTTATAAAGTACAGATAAAGAAGATAAACTTCATATTTTATTTAATCCGGAGCATGATATATTTCAGGCTGAGAGTTAACGTCGTCACTAAGAGCACTTTGTTCCTGCGTCTTATGTGCATTTAAAACCATCGGTTACCAACGTCACGTAAACTAAGATGTGATGTTATTTTCTATATTAGAACATTTCTATCGGTATATCGGAGTGAATTCTATTAGTTAACGTTACATTTAAAGTGAACTCGGATCACCCGCCTCCGTCCTGAATAACTTAAATCCTCGTCGGCCCGCACTGCATGCTGGGATATGCTGGTCCGCAAAGGACAGATCAGATGTGTCCTCCAAACGGCTCCTGGAGGACTGCGTCCCTCGACTGCGTTCGGAGGACGACGGTTTGGGACAGACGGGTCTCAGCGTCCTGAAGGATGCAGCCGAGCGACTTTGGGACACGGCTACTGAAACGCACACACAACCCTTCCCCACACGTGTTAACACCACTAACTACCGGTACCTGGTCCTGGATCAGCTCTGGTACCAGATACCACACACAGCAGCCTGTCAATAATCAGCTTTTATTCATCCAATCAGGCTGTGGGTCTTCAGTTCCGTCACACTGACAACATCAACCACTGGAGGATCGCCATGACGACACTCGGCCTGCCAGCGGTTAGTGGTCCGAGCACTGGTCCGAGCACTGGTCCGAGCACTGGTCCAAGTACTGGTCCGAGTACTGGTCCGAGTACTGGTGTCTTGATCACAGCTTGTTGTTTTCAGATCTTTCATCCAGAAACGACGGACGTGTACGACAAGAAGAACATGCCGAGAGCAGTTTACTGCATCCACGCACTCAGGTGAGCGTCCCTGTCCGTCCTCTGTCTGTCCCCTGTCCGTCCCTCCACCTGTGTTTCTGTCTCTCACCTGTCTGTCTCTCTCTGCAGCCTGTACCTGTACAGATTGGGTCTGGCACCTCAGATCCACGACCTCTACGGAAAGGTCAAGTTCACAGGTGAATATGTGTCCTCACAGTATAGTGGTCTTCGGGGGGGGGTGATTGTAGGGCAGACACTACAGACAGACAGGTACTCAGACGTGTGTGTGTGTGTGTGTGTTGCAGAGGAGGAGATTGACAACATGAAGTCTGAGTTGGACAAATATGGGATCCAGATGCCGGCCTTCAACAAGATCGGAGGGATTCTGGCCAATGAGCTGTCGGAGGACGAGGCAGCAGGTAGACTGAGGCGAGCCGATTGGCCGAGAGGTCACCAAGACGGGGGGGAGACTAACTGCGTTTCCCATCAGGCCATGCGGCGGTGATCGCCATCAACGAGGCGGTGGAAAAAGGTCAGGTGGAGGTCACGGCGGCGGCTCTGAGGAACCCCAACGCGCTGATTTCAGACCTGCAGGAGGTGCTGATGAGCTTCTACCAGGAGGTTCTGCACCAGGCCAGAGCCAGGAAGAAGGAGCAGGCAGTCAATCTAGTGAGAGGACCAATCGGAGCACTCGACCCGGTCCCTCCCACTTTTGACTTATTATTCATGTGTGTGTGTGTGTGTGTTTCAGAGGGTACATCAGGAGCAGAAGGAGATCTACGAGGAGTTTCTGACTCGGAGAGAAATCCAGGAAAACATCAACATGGTCAACGGTGAGTCTCCGAGCGTATGACGTCATCGCTGATTATTACTGATCATCGCGGATTGATACGGGTGGTTTGATCCCTGGCCTCGTCAGTGCGCTCCGCGGTGGAGCAGGTGGATGAGGCGTTGGACTCTGCAGATGAACGGGCTCTGCTCGCCGCTCTGCAGCGGCCATGTTTGGCCCTGAGGGGCCTCCGCACTGATAACGGGCCCTGGTACCTGGACCAGCTGTCAGCAGACCGCCAGCAGAACGCCCAGGTACTGCTCCAAGTATTGTACTCCTACACACACATAGGAGTACTTGTACACGTGTGTGTGTGTGTGTGCGCGCGTGTGCGTGTGTGCCTATATACGTTGCATTGAGACAACAGGTTTAACCTCTGACCCCAGAAAGACGGCTGTGTGGATCCTCTGGAGCCTAATGAGCTGCAGGAGGGTGTGACTGTCGCCAACCAGGACGCCCAGAGGGCCCGAACCAGTGAGTCACACACGCTGAGACCCCTTCAGCGCCGCTGCAGCGCCCACGCTGACGCCTGTTTGTGTGTGTGTGTGTGTGTGTGTGTCAGTACATGCAGCGGTGCAGAGTGTTAACGCCTCGCTGCGTCTCAGTGACCCCCGGCACACTGTCAGCTGCTTGATGACCTCTGACCTCGAGCTTCCTGAAGTGTTTCCATCGGCTGCGAGTCTCTATCACAGAGAGCTGCAGCTGCTGCAGAGACAGAGCGCCCAGGTACACCTGCAGATACACCTGCTGACGAGCCGCGACCCAAACCGAGGAGAATGTTTATTGCAAATATATAAAATAGTAATATACATATAGAATATCACCGTATGCTAACACAATGCTAAACCAAACCGACGATGCTACAAAGGAAATACTCCTTTCTTACATTCAATTAGCTGCATTTGAATTAAAACCAACAATAATGCTTAAGACACAAGGTAACACAACATACACAACAATTCAGTAACTTCAGCTTTTTATAAGCGACTCAACAGTGTTTCATGCACACACATGAAATAAAAATGACTGAGAAGTGGTTTAAAAAAAAAAAGACTCCAGAACTGGGGATGCGTTTGGCTCCTGAGTTCTTCTTGAGAAGGTTACATGAGGCTACATGAGGTCCTCTCAATGTCCAGTGAGCTCCTCTGGTTAGTCTATAATACATCAGATTATATATTTATAATATATATATATATATCTCCACCCACCAGGGGGAGCTGCAGCAGGAGGAGCTGTTTGTTGCTGTGGAGATGCTGTCGGCCGTCGCTCTCATCAATCAGGCGGTGGAGGCGGGACATCTGCAGCGGTTTGGCTGTTCATTGGTCAGTCCGTCAGCAGGACTCTCTGATGTGGACCCCTCGCTGATGGACAGGTGAGACGCGCCTGAGCTCACAGGTGATCCCAGTCCAGTTAGCGATGAGGATGATGTCATAGGGCTGGGCGCTATACCGGCATAAGATATCCGTACGCTATGAATACCGTTCACGGTGTTACACCATAACAACTGACTGGATTTATGTGTCCACGTCATCGCCGAGCGGTCGGAGCTACTTGTCTTAATGTGTTGAGATTCACTCATGGTTATAACTTTATAACAACAATGAATAACCACAACAAACACTCTGGTGGCGACACTAGCAGCCACAACAAGCTAACGTGCTAACTCGCCGGCCAGTTGCAGCGAGCGGCAAACAGCTGTTCAGGTCTTTTTCGGGGTCAATGAATTAATGTGTTTACTTGGAAAAGCAACAGCGTCACATTCCGTCAGATTCTTTCTCAGTACGGTGATGTGGATTTTTGGCCACTCCCTATGATGTCATTGGCAGGTACTTTGAGCACCTGGTTAGTGTGAAGCAGCAGGTGAGCAGAGATCTGCTGACCTGGAATCAGCTGCAGGAAGGAATCCACTCGGTCAACAACTCTGTGCAGGACGAACACCAACGTAAGTAACACACACACTGCACAATGTGACCCCTTTGTGACCTCTGACCTCTGCTTGACCTTTTCCTGACCTCCAGAGCTGCTGACTGTGGGTCTGGTTAACAAGGCGCTGGTTAGAGGAGACGCTCAGAAGCTGCTGTCCGCGCTGCTGCTGCCCTCCTGTGGTGTGGAGGAGGTCTTACCTTCGAACGCCTGCAGATACCTGACACTGCTGACCAGCGCGCGGCAGCACAAAGCGCAGGTAGCTGGTCAGAGCTTCTTCACGTGGTGCACACTAGAAGGGCAGGAAGTCCTGTAGGGGTGTGGTGTTCCATTCCCAGACAACCCCTGAGCATGTTCTTGATGAAGTATGGACAACATGGTTTGAGTACACAGACTGTGTGGTGTGACATCATGGAGGCTCTATTCATTATGGACCTGCAGTCCGTACAGTAGCCACAGGGATTCAAACCGACGCCTCACTCTGGAAGCACAACTGTGATGTTTGCCATCGAGGATTTCCTTTTTAAAGCTGAGCGGCTTCTGTCCAATCAGGTGAGCAGAGACCCAGGAGCTGAGCTGTGGTTGGCTGATATCCAGGAGGCAGTGAGGAGAGCCAATCAGCAGAGTCAGAGAACTCTGAAGAGTGAGTTCTGCAGAGAGGATTTATTGATCACGGCGTCACCTGATTGATCGGTTTTGATTGGTGTGTGTGTGTGTGTGTCAGTGTGTCTCGCACTAGCTGCAGTGAACCAGGCGGTGAAGGAGAACAAGGTGAACCAGACTCTGCGGGTCCTGAGCCTCCCTGAGGTCGGCCTGCAGGCCGTGGTTCCTTCCTGCGCTGCAGACTACCAGAGAGAGCTGTACAGTCTGATGAGGGCCAGGACACTGTCAGGTACGCCCCCCCCCCTTCATCCCCGCCACAACAACAACAACAACAAACATCTACAACTGTGGCTGTGTGTTCAGGAGACAACAGAAGTCCGTGGGTTCGAGTCCAGCTGGATGACGGCTTGTTCTTCTTCCTGCACCTGAGCCGCTTGGAGGGAAGCTGGGAGGAACCCAGCGGCTTTGTGAACAACAGCGTGTTCCTGGACCGCCACCAGATACAGGTGAGGCGCACCTGAGGGTCAGGGGTCACACACACGCACACACACACACACGCACCTGAGGGTCAGGGGTCACACACACACGCACCTGAGGGTCAGGGGTCACACACACACGCACCTGAGGGTCAGGGGTCACACACACACGCACCTGAGGGTCAGGGGTCACACACGCACCTGAGGGTAGAGTCCTACCTGCAGTGACCTGTGATGTCATGTGACCTCTACAGGAAGTCGTCCGCAGCGTCTCTAACTCGCACGCCCGCAGCGGCCTCTGGAGGAGCAGAGACGCCCTCGTCACCCGCCTGCAGGCGCTCAGTCGAGGCTTCCTGCTCAGGAGGAAGCTGGACGCCCGACGACGTTTCCTCAGCAGTCAGACGCCTGCTGTCATCACCATCCAGGTGGTGTTTATCAGATTATGTTTATTGGTCCACACTGGATCAAACTAACTAATGTGAACTGGTCGTTCCTCAGTCCCACTGGAGGAGGTTTGTCCAGCGGGAGGCCTACAAGCACCGGCTGCAGTTTCTTTATAGAAACTGGAGATCCGTTGTCAAGGTAACGCCCCGAATTCTTTTATTTTATTCTTCCTATATTGAACCAACGCACCAAGTCCAATTCATCTACGTCTAACATATGTGGCAATAAATGGCTTCTGATTCTGAAATCGCCGTCACTAGAACCCAGAGCCTGAACGCATCGTGACGAACTGGAGGGGCTCCGTTACTCACTCGCTCTCCTCCTGTTGTCACTTGACCTCTGAAGCTTCACTGACCGGTTAACGATGAGGTCAGAGGTCAAGCGTTAAAGTCGTTTTTTTTCTTCACAGATCCAGTCCTTCGTGAAGATGTGGTCGGCAAGGAGGAAGTATCAAGCTCGCCTGAGTTTCTTAAGACGTCACGTGAGTTTCTCGCATCCACACCGAACTGGTTTCTCACTGGGAACCGGCCTGAGGACGGCCTGCATACCTCTGTCCACAGGTGGGGGCTGTGGTGAAGATCCAGGCCTTCTTCAGAGCCAACAGAGCACGCGAAGAGTACAGGATGCTGGGTGAGTGGACTAACGAGGTGCTGACCAGCCGGCGCCTGTGATTGGTCACAGCTCTGATGGACCTCGCTCCCTCCTGTCTCAGTGCACTCGGCCACGCCCCCCCTATCCGTGGTCAGGAAGTTTGTTCACCTGCTCGACCTGGGCGACGTTGACATCAGAGAGGAGGCGGAGCAACTGCGCCTGAGGGAGGAGGTGGTGAGGAGCATCCGCTTCAACCACCAGCTGGAGGCGGACCTGGACGTGATGGACCTGAAGATCGGCCTCCTGGTCCGGAACAGAGCCACGCTGCAGGTGACGCTCCGCTACACACCGGCGTCCCACGTCGCTGGAGTCTGTCCTCATCAACACGTCTCTCTCTGACAGGAAGTGGTGTCTCATTGTAAGAAGCTGACCAAGAAGAACAAGGAGCAGCTGTCAGACATGATGGACCTGGAGAGAAGTAAAGGACTGAAGGCTCTCAGCAAAGAGAGGAGGGGCCAACTGGAGGCCTACCAGCACCTGTTCTACCTGCTGCAGGTGAGTCTCTCACACACACACAGAGCACCTGTTCCACCTGCTGCTGGTGAGACACACACCTGTAGTACCCAGGTGTGTTGTTGCTATGGTTGCAGACCCAGCCCCTGTACCTGGCCCAGCTGATCTTCCTGATGCCTCAGAGCCGCTCCACCTCCTTCATGGAGATGCTGGTCTTCAGTCTGTTCAACTACGGCTCTGACAGCAGAGAGGCCTTCCTGCTGCTGCAGCTCTTCACCCAGAGCCTGAGACACGAGATCAGGTGAGACACACTGAGCCTGAGACACACTGAGCCTGAGACACGAGATCAGGTGAGACACACTGAGCCTGAGACACGAGATCAGGTGAGACACACTGACCCCCCTTGTGACGTGTCAGCCTGAAGGTGGAGCGGCCTCAGGACGTGGTCACAGGGAACCCCCCCGTCATCCGCATGCTGGTGAACTTCTACCGACACGCCCGCGGTCAGAACAGCCTACGGGAGACTCTGGGTCCGGCACTGAAGGGGGTCCTGCTGGACCGGACCCTCTGCATCAGGACCGACCCGGTGGAGGTCTACAAGACCTGGATCAACCAGACCGAGACCCAGACGGGACACAAGAGGTGCCGTAGATGTCTGTGGGGTCTGGGTCAGCTGTGTTCGTTGTGGAGACCGTGATGAAGCCTTACCTGTCTCACCTGTCTCTCCTGTCGGTGTCCCCTCAGCTCTCTGCCCTACGAGGTCTCACCTGCCGACGCCCTGAGTCACCCTGAGGTGCAGAGACGCATCGATGTCGCCATCGTCAACCTGAAGAACCTAACGGACCGAGTCCTCCAGGCCATCATCTCCAACCTCCACCAGCTACCGTAAGCCTCCGCCCGTTCACCTCCACCAGCTACCGTAAGCCTCCGCCCGTTCACCTCCACCAGCTACCGTAAGCCTCCACCCGTTTCACCTCCACCATTTACCGTAAGCCTCCACCCGTTCACCTCCACCAGCTACCGTAAGCCTCCACCCGTTCACCTCCACCAGCTACCGTAAGCCTCCACCCGTTCACCTCCACCAGCTACCGTAAGCCTCCACCCGTTCACCTCCACCAGCTACCCTGAAGGCCGCCGCGTGTTTCTGCGTCTTTTCGCGTCGACGCACTGGTTTCACTTCCTGGTTGTAAAGTCTTGCGTGTGTTGCAGAGCGATTCACCTCCAGAACAAGTGCTCATATTTACGCATTTCTTCCCACAAAAGCTCTTCAGTCTGATCCGTTCTCTCGTAAACGTTCTTCCTTTTAATAACGGCCGTATTGTGCTGTGGAAACGGAGACGTGAGACTCTAAAGGACGTAGTCAGCAGACCGATCACAGCCTGGTGCTGCAGGAGGCTGCGTCGCTTTACACGCTGGTCTAGAAAAATGGGTCAACGCAAGGACACGCACACGCAACAGCCCCTTGCGTGTGCGTGTCCTTGCGTTTCTCTGAAAACACAGAAGCATAAACTAGGCTTAAGTCTTAAGGCAATGCGGTTGAGGAAGCTGTCACTCATGATTACAAGCCCCTCCCAGTTGATGCTCCGCCCCCTAAAAAGATCCAAATGCGGAAAAAAATCTGAAAATATAAAATCTACAACTAAAAAATAGTGAATATCAAACAATATATTTCAGTGAAGATTGAAAAAATATATTTTATTCCAAAAAAAATAGAGCCGAGTCAAAACTATATTCACCCCAAAAATATTTTTCGTCCACTCATTTTTATTTTGAATACATTGTTGTATTTTTCAATGTCCAACAACAAAACGTAAACTTTCAAGTTCACATCTGTTTTCCAGATGAACAAACCTTCTGACCTGGATTTGGATCCATACCTCTGTGTCTCACTGAGGTTTCTTCCCTTTTTCCCCCATCAGTTTTTCCTCTGCCGATGGGTTTGGGGTCAGAGGTCACATGTGTGCAGACTGTAAAGCCCTCTGAGGCAAATTATTTTGGGCTTTACAAAATAAAGTGAATTGTGTCTCCTAGCTACGGGCTGCGTTACACAGCGAAGGTTCTCAGAGACGCGCTGAGGGAAAAGTTCCCAGAAGCCAGCGAGGACGAGCTCTACAAGGTACGTTCCAGGCATTAGACCAAGCCCCAACCACCGGCCCCCAGTGGCTCATCACTGTCTCCCTCCCTCCTCCCCCTCAGATTGTTGGTAACCTGGTCTACTACCGCTACATGAACCCGGCCATCGTGGCCCCGGACGGGTTCGACGTTGTGGATCGCTCCGCCGGCTCGGCCCTGCAGCCGGAGCAGCGCCACATCCTGGGCTCGGTGGCCCGCACGCTGCAGCACGCCGCCGCCAACAAGCACTTCCACGGAGACGGGTACCACGTGAGGGCTCTGAACCAGTACATCAGCCAGACCCACCGCAGGTTCAGGTCAGAGCCAAACAAACGGAAACCTCCTGTTGGAGCTTGTGGCGGGTGGGAATAGTCCGGGAACAAACAACCATACGCGCCTTTTCACCACGTCCCGTCACTGCGCTGATTGTAGAACACTGGAGTGCAAAGTAACTGTAGTTTAAGGACACGCTGCTGCTCCATATTAAGGACGTCTGCTCAATGATAACGTGTGTGTGGTCCTAAAGAGCCGCCTGGACGGGCGGTAGCTTCCGCAGAGAAGCACCACGTGCAGGCGGTGGAGTAGGATGCTGTGTGGTACAAACACATGATGCTCTCACGTAAGTAGAACTTCCACAACAGGCACAGAGTCGCTACGTCTTCCACGGTCGACGCGGGAGGTTGATCTGTTTGAGCGTGATAGGCCACTCCCCTTCTCCGTCGCGTCGAGCATGAATGCGCCATTCGACCAGAAATGACCCCTGGGGAGTTATTTAAACTGACGTCACTAACTAGCGTCTCCGTCCATCACAACTACGCAGCTTAGTGGAAGTTGACTAAACACCGCCATGTTTTTACCTACCTCCTCATCAACTCTCCTAACCACCTTTCCTTGACCCTGTGACATTTTCCTCAGAGGTCAAGGAAAGGTGGTAAGGAATAGACTTAGATAGACGACTACTCAAATCCAGCCTGCTTGACAGGAACTTCCTTCCTGTTTCTGTGTGTTTGGACAGGAACTTCCTTCCTGTTTCTGTGTGTTTGGACAGGAACTTCCTTCCTGTTTCTGTGTGTTTGGACAGGAACTTCCTTCCTGTTTCTGTGGGGTTTGACAGGAACTTCCTTCCTGTTTCTGTGTGTTTGGACAGGAACTTCCTTCCTGTTTCTGTGTGTTTGGACAGGAACTTCCTTCCTGTTTCTGTGGGGTTTGGACAGGAACTTCCTTCCTGTCTATGTGTATTTGGACAGGAACTTCCTTCCTGTTTATGTGTGTTTGGACAGGAACTTCCTTCCCGTTTCTGTGTGTTTGACAGGAACTTCCTTCCCGTTTCTGTGTGTTTGACAGGAACTTCCTTCCCGTTTCTGTGTGTTTGACAGGAACTTCCTTCCTGTTTATGTGTGTTTGGACAGGAACTTCCTTCCTGTTTCTGTGTGTTTTGACAGGAACTTCCTTCCTGTTTCTGTGTGTTTTGACAGGAACTTCCTTCCCGTTTCTGTGTGTTTTGACAGGAACTTCCTTCCTGTTTCTGTGTGTTTGACAGGAACTTCTTCCCGTTTCTGTGTGTTTTGACAGGAACTTCCTGTTGAGCGTTTGTGATGTTCCGGAACCAGAGGAGCGGTTCAACATGGACGAATACTCTGAGCTTCTGATCCTCAACAAACCTGTCGTCTACATCTCCATCAGCGAGCTGATCAACACCCACCAGGTGTGTGTTGGGCCCTGGTCTGACTCTATAAACCTGGTCCTGGTTTCGTACTAGACCTGGACTTGGTCTAAACACCCCGTCGGTGTAGAAGCCTCCTGTGGAAAGATCTAAACCCAGTGCATGCAGGTCTCTAATGCCGCTGTAAGGTCCATATCAACTAAATCCTCTGTTGTTGTTTGTTTAGCTGTTGCTGGACCACCAGGAGGTTTTGTGTCCGGACCCCTCAGACCCCCTCAGACTGCTCCTGAAAGACCTGGGATCCGTTCCCACCCTGCAGGACCTCATTGGTACTGCTACTGCTGATACCACTCATCAGTGCTCCTCTTCCTACCTGTGAGAACCGGTCTGACTGTGCTTTCTGCTCCTCAGGTGAGTCTCCTCTAGCTGATCCAGGATCAGAGTCCGGTCTGTCTCAGAGCAGCAAGATGGAGGTTTCTCTGACTCTCACCAACAAGTTTGACATCTTCAACGAGTCCAACGACAAACCAGACGCCAGAGGACTGCTGCTCAGGTGAGTTGGCGCCACCTGCTGTACGGAGCTTCAGCGCTCAGACGCATCAGCTCCTGATTCTCACTAAATAGTTTTGGTTTATTCGCGATATTTTTATCGTTCTTTTTCTTCAGCACGAAGCAGCTGATCATCGATGTCATCAGGACTCAGTCAGGTGACTCTCTGGGTGACATCCTGAGAGGATCTGTGTCACATGACCAGGTACGCACACACACACACACACAACGGGAGGGCTTCACATGGGTCCACATACCACACCTGAACCTCACTCCTCCTCCCCAGGAAGCCTGCCACGATTGGCTGGTCCAGCGGCGAGCTCAGCAGGACGCTCGCACCCCAGAGAAGATGAAGAGGAACCAGTCGCTGGTCGCTAACGGCAACCTGAGTTTGGAGGAGAAGAAGAGGAGGATCCTGAGGTGCCTCCGTCGCCTGGAGGGACTCGGGGTCCTGAGGCCGCCAAAAGCTGAAGACCAGATCCTTCGGATGATCGCCAAGGTGACCGGACGCGCACTTCCTGTTGGTTGATCTTCACAGCGGTGGTTCCTCGCCTACTTTATCGTATTTTATTACTCCAGATGTTGAATCAGACACTTCATCTAATAAATATTTCCAGTGGGGAACTAATGATTGCAACAAAAATACCTTTTTCTACTTCTTTCTGCAGAGTGTTTGATTTAAAGTTTAATATTCTCCCCCGACAGGACATCCGTCAGCAGCGTCTACACCGCCAGCGTCGGGGGGCGGAGCTACAGAAGCTCCGCCAGACACTCGGCAGCCTGCAGGCGAAGAGCAGCTTCCACAGCGAACAGGTGGACTACTACAGGGATTACATCACTTCCTGTCTGGACAACCTGACCACCAACAGGTGAGGACGGAAAGGTGGTGACGTGAATCTGCAAAACCATGTGCCCGCACACACAGGTCAAAGGTCAAACGTTGTCATTGTGTGTTGCAGTAAATCAACCAACAAGAAGACGGCAGAGAGCAAAGGGAAGAAGAAGATTCTTGTTCTGAGCTACAGCGCCGCCCGGCTGCAGGAGAAGGGAGTGCTGCTGGAGATAGAGGAGCTCCCATCTACACAGTAAGGGCCACATAGCCTCGAAAGAGATGCTGTAGATAGTGGAGCTCCCATGTACACCGTCAGAGACACACAACCACACAACAGTTGCTGGTGATAGATGAGTTCCCCATTTACACAGTAAGAGACACTCACCCACACAACAGCTGCTGGAGATAGAGGAGCTCCCATCTACACAGTAAGAGACACACAACCACACAACAGCTGCTGGAGATAGAGGAGCTCCCATCTACACAGTAAGAGACACACAACCACACAACAGCTGCTGGAGATAGAGGAGCTCCCATCTACACAGTAAGAGACACACAACCACACAACAGCTGCTGGAGATAGAGGAGCTCCCATCTACACAGTAAGAGACACACAACCACACAACAGCTGCTGGAGATAGAGGAGCTCCCATCTACACAGTAAGAGACACACAACCACACAACAGCTGCTGGAGATAGAGGAGCTCCCATCTACACAGTAAGAGACACACAACCACACAACAGCTGCTGGAGATAGAGGAGCTCCCATCTACACAGTGAGAGACACACAACTCGTGTGGCGTTAGTGACTCATTGGAGCTTTTCCAGGTTTAAGAACGTCGTGTTCGACATCATGGCCGCTTCTCAGAAAGGAAGCTTCAGCATCAAAGCTCGATTCCTGGGAGTCCAGATGGAAGACGTCCTCCTCAAGTACCAGGTAACAAGCACGCGACCCACTGAGACCAAAGCTAGCGGCTAGCCACTGAGACCAAAGCTAGCGGCTAGCCACTGAGACCAAAGCTAGCGGCTAGCCACTGACACCAAAGCTAGCGGCTAGCCACTGACACCAAAGCTAGCGGCTAGCCACTGAGGTGTGTGTGTGTCCCTGTTAGGACCTGCTCCAGCTGCAGTATGAAGGCGTTGCAGTGATGAAGATGTTTGACAAAGCGAAGGTCAATGTTAACCTGCTCATCTTCCTCCTCAACAAGAAGTTCTTCAAGAAATGAACAGGTGTGTGTGTGTGTGTGTGTGTGTGTGTGCGCCTTCTTTACACTGCCATGTCATTTACAGAATGAAGTCGTTTGTTTTTTTAAACTAATAATCATTTTTGACACTTATTGCCAAAGCTCAGTTACATAATGTTACTTCACTACAGATAAATAATCATAAGACGTGTTTTTATATCTCCCCACACGTAGAAACATTATACATACAAACTACAAAGCTTTATTTTAAAGCAAGATAGATTTATCGAACTCTGATTGATTTGTAGTTTTTAGTAGCACCTCCAACAGAAAAGTTTAATTTAAAACAAATCAGTCTGATTGTTAACCGATGACCGATCAATAACGGATGACTGATGGATAACTGTAAATACTTTCTCCCACTTTGTTTTTTTGTTTTTTTCTGAAATTAAACTTTCAAATGTGTTTTCAACTGTTTTTCTTCATTAAATATTTGAACATCTACAGCTGTTTCTGACTGGAATCCATTGGTTAATTGATTGTGTCGCTGATTTGATATTCAAAGAATAATAATATTAAAGCTATTCATAAAATTAGATTGGGATTGATTGATTAATGACTTGCACTATGCGGCCTTGTGACCTCTCTGACGTCTCCACATCTGGCCAATGCACTTTCTTCATGTTTTCGGGAGCCAACCGGTGGTCAGAAGGCCGTTTATTCTGAGCGCAACAACGAGCTGCAAAATCTGAACGTGATCATGAAACAAAGGTTTTTATTCCACAGTTTGAGTTACAATCACAGCAAAGGAAGAAGATGTTCATAAGTTTCCTTTAGTTCAGATGGTCCTTTCTGGGTCCATCAGCTTCATTCCACTTCAGACCGGTTTGAGTCTGGTTAATACCAAAATAACCTTCATCATTCCCGGTTAAACCCCATCAGCCCGCCTCCCGTTAACATTTTAAGACTTTATCAGTAATAAATGTTTCCCTGTGTGTGTCCAGTTAAGCCGTAGATCCAATTCAGCTTTAGCCAGTTGAACTCTGCCACGTAGTCGGATGAACCCCGACCTCCAAATCCAAGATGGCCGCTCCACTGTGAGCGGCAAAGCTAGCATAGCGTTGAGCTAACGGAACTCTTTCATTTCAGAGAGACTTGTTATGATCATGACTGAAAGTGCAAACTCACTGACAGCTTAGCAGCTAGCGCAGCTAGCTGAGAGCCATATAGAGGCAATCAAAATGCTCCCGCGCTGGTTTAGCACCTGGAATTCTTTATACTCCGTATCTCCTCCGCGTTGTCTGTCCTGGACACACTGATGAAACTGATTTCGGTGGGAACGGAACCTGGTCCGGTTCCTTTAACGGGCCTCAGCGCACGCCAGAGGTTGACCGGCGCAAAGTGCTTAATCCTCAACGTTACAGTACAGATGCATCTTCAGGTATGTACATGTAACAGGTGTTTGACACTCGCACAAAGTTTGGGCTCAAATCATCTGCACAACTTCTTTGGAATTTCACAAACGCAAAAAAAACATGTTTCACTGAAGTTCAGCTCTAAACGTCACCACAGTTAAAGGTCATAACCGTGGTCGGGGGATGTTTCAAACGCCCCCTGAAAATTGTAAAACACTCATGATTTACACTGAAGCGAGAGTAGATGGTCAATGGTTACGCAGTTTCACGTCATCACGTTCTTCAATCAGGACGCCGGCTCGTTAGAGTCAAATGGACTTCAGTGCAAATTGTGCCTCTAAAACTGTGTCTGCGGTGATGTAATGAGGATTCTCCATCGTTAGCAGGAAATGTGTTTTATTCTCCTCAAACTGTCAAACATTTGGGATTCAGTCAGATGTTTGTGTTTTGACTGTTCTAGTTTAGAGATTAACGGAGTCCTTGTAGAGTCTCTGAGTCATGTGGTGGTAAAGGGGATAAAACATGAGGCAGAACTTCTACATTTCTTTTAGATGTTTATGTTGATTGCTCAGAACCAGAGGTCATGATTTCAATGATGCGGTAGATCACCCCCCTAAAACGTCTTCGAGGCTGCCTATTGTGCTTTGCTCCGATATCAATCCCCATGGGCCTCTGCCACCTTCTCGGCCAGGATCTCCCGGAAGGTGGAGAGCTGCTTCATCTGCTCGGTCTGCATGGAGTGCCTCCTAGTCAACTTCTTCTTGGTCTTGAAATCTGGGCCTCGTTTGGGTGAGGCGGGGGCCACGGGGACCAGCAGCTTGAGCCCGGCGTGGACGGGCGAGCCACCGGGCCTGCCGTTGGCCCGGATGTCAGGGATGGGCCTGTGGGGGTTGACGTTGAGCGGCGGCAAGAAGCCGGGCCTGGTGTGCGAGATGTGGTCCAGGAGGAGAGTCCCGGACCCCCGGCGCTCCAGCAGCCCCGGTGGACGGCGGCGCAGGGGATTGGGCGACACGGAGCCGGGGATGTTCTCCAGGGACTCCCTGGAGGAGCTGGTGACCAGGGAAAGCGGGGAGGCGTTGTACCGTCGCCGCTCCACCGAGACCCGACCCGAGTCTGGGGACCCTGGACCGGACTCGGGGCAAAGGTGAGTGTCCGACTCGTAGTGCTCCATCCGGGTTAGTTTGGGATGGATCAGAGCGCGGGCCGCTGCTGCCGCTGCCCCCCCAGCATTCTCCTGGGATTCCGGGGCTGTGTTCCTGCGGTACAAGATCTGGTGCTGCTGGACTTTGTCGGCCCAGGATGAACCGGAGAGGGCGCCGTAGTCCTCGGAGGAGGACCGGTCTATGAGCTTGGGGGAGCAGGGGTCGTGGGTCTCAATGCTGTGTCGCCGCGACAATAGGGGCCTTGACTGCTCCGCGACCGAGAGGCCGTTGAACTCGGCAATGGTCCGGCCCAAGTCGCGCCCCCCCTCCTCGTCCCGCTCCGGAGGAGCCCCACCCAGCGCCGAGGGCGCCACCAGGCCCCACGGCTCCGAGTTCAGCCTCTTCAGAAGCTTGCGCGGCGGCCTCTTCTCTCCCGGAGGACGGGCCGAAGGCAGCGGCAAGGCCGAGGCCAGCGCGAAGCTGAAGACGCCCTCCTCCGCCTCCGCCGGCGAGGAAGTGCCGATCTCCACCTCGGAGGGCGACATGCAGGCCGGGGGGGACTTCTCCACGATGCAGGGCGAGGGGGGGGCGTTGAGGTACTGCTTGGTCTTCTTTGTGCCGGAGGGCGAGGTGTCTGTAGTGATGATGATGACCTCCTTGCCTTTGGCCTTGCAGGCGTCCAGCAGCGCCTGCAAGGTGTCGCGGTCCCCCCGGTTGATGGCGTGAACCAGGGCGGAGGAGCCGGCGTAGTCCTTCAGGCTGGGGTCCGCTCCGTTCTCCAGCAGCAGGGTCACCACTTCTTTCCCCGCCTGCTCCGCGCAGGCGTGCATCAGCGCCGTGCGGCCGCCCTTGTCGGGGATGTTGGGGTCGGCGCCTTTCTCCAGCAGGTACCGGACCATCCTCTGCCGGGTCAGCGGGTCATCGTAGCCCGCCAGGCAGGCAGCAGCCACGGGGGTCTCGCCGCGGTTGTTGCCCTCGTTGATGTAAGCTCCGCCCTCTAGAAGCAGGCGGGTTAGCCGCAGCTTCCCCTGGAAGACGGCCTTGAGGAGGGCGTTGCCCTCCGTCTGAAGGGCGCCTCCATCTCCCATGATGCTCTGCTCAGGCCTTCCGAGCAATGGAAGCCAGCTCCACACTGACAGCCCGGCCTCCGCGAGGAGCCACAAGACCTGTGGGGGCGAACAGAAGGTCAGGATGGACACAGGTTAATACATACGTGCTGTACATACATGCATTATACACACATACTGACGTATGTGTGTGTATATGTGTATATATATATATATATATATACGTATATGTATGTGTGTATATATATATATATACACATACGTATGTTTAATTGTAATATATAATGGCGACTAGTCACTCTGTAAAGTATTAATAATATTTCTTCCTCAGTGGTTTTACTACTTGTGATGAACAAAAAGATACTAAAGTACAAAAAGTTCTAATAATTCGATCACGTGTGTCTCAGGTGGAGCTCCGCAACGTGATGATGATGATGACGATGAAGATGAACCCTGTGGTGGAATGCGGCGTTCACCGGGTCACTACGTCACTCCGCCGCTCTGACGCAGTGGTTTCTATATTTACTTACCGGAAGCCAAGTTAACGGCAGCGTGCAGGTGTGTGAGTCGTGCACGTGTGTCCGTGGACAACACACGCACGCACGCACACGCACGCACGCACGCGCACGGGATAAGATGCTGTTTTTGCTGCATCTTCATCACCGTCAAACCGTCACATTTGTTGACTTCGCGGCGTCTTTTCTCACCGTACACCGACACGCACACACACGCGCACACACACACACACACGCACGCACGCGCTGGGAGCAGCTGATGAAGATGGAGGCATGATGGAGGAAACGGGAAGACAAGATCTTTCTCTTACCACCGAGCTGAAGGAGCGTCTTCATCATCTTCATCATCGGACTGACCGGTGCTGATGGAGCCGACTGTTGAACGACTGACGGAGGCGCTGCAGCGACCCTCCTCCTCCGAGCCGCGCTCATTCACGCCCCCCACACACACACACACACACACACACACACACACACACACACACAGATTGACAGCTGATATTTTTCATTGAAGTTTGAATATGAACAATTTCAGATCAATAAATATATTTACTGATATGTATTTGCTATTTCTTTATATATTGAAATATGTTTATACACTCACTGGTCACATGATCAGGTCCACCTCGCCAGTAGCAGGTTGGACCCATTTGTTCTTCAGAACTCCTGGTGTACTTTGAACAAGGTGTTGGAACGTTGCTCATAGATCCAGATTAGATTAGATTATTATAGTCCATGTAGATTACGGACTGCAGGTTTGTCTGCTGGATTGAGATGTGGAGACATGGAGGCCAGTGACGTACACTGAACGCACCGTCATCTTGATGATGAGATGATGTGGGTGGTCTTCTGCTGCTGTAGCCCGTCTTCTCCCAGGTTCACAGATGCTTATTTGACTTCCTGTTGCCTTTCTGTCGTGTGGAACCAGTCTGCCGGTTCTCCTCCGACCTCTCACACCCCTGCTGCCCACTGGGTTCCTTCTCTTACTGGGACCGTCCTCTGTGAACCACAGATGGTTGTGTGTTTGGATCCCAGCAGTACTCAGACCAGCGTTACAGTCACTTGAATCGTCCCCCCCGCTCTGATGCTCTGACCTCCAGGTGGTCTCCACCACGTCCACGTCTAAGACCGTGAGCTGCTGCCTGTGTGCACCTGACAAAGTGAGCGTAACGCTAACCCCGCGTGTCCCCGCGTGAGACACTTAACCCCCGCGTTGGTCCCGTAGCCCCCTGATGGACGGCGTCTCTGTGGGCGCTGCTGTCATCACGGATGAGTGATGTCATGAAGTGTTAACGTGGTCAGAAGACTAGAAGAACACAGCAAAGTACCACATGAATGTATTACATGTACATACACACATACATGTGCAGATGTGTCATATATATCGCTGTATGTTATATGTATATATATATATATATATATATGTATGTATATATATATGTATATATATAAATTATATTAGTCTGATTATTATTACTACAGTTTTAAACATTTAATTTTATTATTTTTGGAAGTGACAAAAATAGAATACTGCAGGACCCACATACACACCCACTAAAACACACACACAGACACACACCGAAAGAGACTGATGCTATTATAGAAACACAGTTTCTATGGCAACTGATGTGCCGGATTCCAGCAGGCGCGTTCCCACAGCGACACACACACACACACAGACACACACACACACAGACACACAGCGACACACACACACACACACACAGACACACACAGACACACAGCGACACTCACACACACACACAGACACACACACACAGACACACAGCGACACTCACACACACACAGACACACACACACACACACACACAGCGACACTCACACACACACACACACACACAGACAGAGACACAGACACACACAGACACACACACACACACACACAGCGACACACAAACACAGACACACACACACAGACACACACACACACACACACACACAGACGATGATGGAGGCCTTGCTGACGTAGCAGAGGCTGTTTGACCTTAACTTGTACTGCAGTATTAGTACAATAGCGGACTCGTCACTAGTCCTCCATCAGATATCACTGATGGGGTTGACGTGGTGCAGAGGGAACCGCGAGGTTGCTGGTTGGAGTCCTGGCTGCCCCGTGTCCCTGAGCAGGACACCTGACGGGCACCATGTGACCTGTGATGAGTGGCCCAATGACCTCACTTAGCCTGATGGGGCTCAGGGCCCCTGAGGGACCTGCTCGTGGAAGCAGGTGATGCTGGAGAGCCAGATGGTGACTTCCTGCTTCATTCTTTGGTTTGTGTTCTGTTGTTCCCATCGCTGTAATGTTGTTTCCACTTGTTTGCACTTTGGGAGAAGCACAATACGTTTGTGCGCTTCCAGTGACTCACACGTTGGTTCCAACACAAAACCCTCCAGACTCGTGTTCTCTTTGACTCCCACAGATACAACCGTGTTCCATAAAGACGAGTGGACAACACGAGGTCAGAAGACTGTCCTGATGTCCCGTCCAATACAAACGCCAGCCCCGTGCCTCAGCCCCCCCCTTACCTGTGAATCTAGTTACTTCAAATATGAATAAAATATACATTCAGTAAATGCACAAAATTCCTACAAAACAAGTAAATGATTTGTAACAAAACAGAAAGTACAGCAATGAATAAGTAGAGACAATATTCTAACACAAGCAGCTGTGGATTCTATAAATAAAGTTAATCTTTGAGTTCATGACCTTGTCCTTTAGGGGCCAAATCGTCCACAAAAACCACGAGGTCGCCATTGACATTCAATGTCAATGTGACTTTTATTTATCCAGCGCTTTTAAAGGCCAGTGGCCGGAGGGCTTTACAGGACAAAAACAATCAGCATCAATAAAACAAACAAACAAGCAAAAAATCAAAATAAATAAATCAAAATAAACAGTAAAAGGCAAACCCATAGAAGATCGATGCAGGTGACGTAACTCAGCCAAAGGCAACGTGAACACGTGGGTCTTAAGGCGGGTTTAAGTGGAACGGCTCGTCGCAGAACGCGCAGACGACGCAACGCGTTCCACAGTCTGAGCCGCTACGTCTCCTTTGGTTTAAGGAACGGCCGAGGAACGCTCAGAGGCAGCTGGTCAGCTGACCTCAGCTGACCTCAGGGCTCTGCAGGGCTGATGCACATGGACCCACTTGTTCCGTTGTTGCATGATCCCGGTCTCCCTAACCTTCTAGAGGACAAGTCCTCTTTCTTGACCAGGCCGGATG